TTCCTTTTATAGCTCTGCAACAAATGCAACCAACTAATTCCTTTTGTGCTAAAAAACATGTAATAGGTCAAGCTGGTATGGTACTATAACAATGCACTTGGAAGACCAAAAAAGAAAAAGTTCATAGCTCGGTCAAAGGCGTAAGCGCAAATCGCTTGGCTAATGTTAATTTGCATCATTTCCTTTGTTCTGTTCAATTAATTTTCTTTTCCTTACACCCTTCTATCCAACAGCTTTCATGGTACAACATTAATAGCATCAAGTCTTACTGGGTAAGTTAAATGAAAAGAAAATATACCTCATGCCTCTTGTTAAAAGAAATAAGTAGTCGAATATATTTTTCCAGTATCACAGGTGGGCACCAAGGGTTTGACATTCCAGCTCCGTTTGTTCTGCACACTGATTGTCCACATTACTGGCGTTACCATCTTCCAGGTTCTGATCTATGCTTTCATATACAGTTGGTTCAAATTCTTTGATCTTTTTTTTCCAGCCATTAACTTAAGAGCATCCTTATGTCAGGTGAAACAGAGGAAGAGTTCTCAACAAGATTAGCGAAAAGGTTGGAGGACCTTATACTTAAGGAGGGGCCAGAGACGGTAAACATGAATACTCCTTCGAATTAGACTATAACATGATACCATAATTGAATCTTTCTCCCTTGTCTAATTTTGTCTAATTTTCCACTTCAGATTGCTGCGTTCATCGCTGAACCTGTCATGGGGGCTGGTGGTGTGATTCTCCCACCTACAACTTATTTTGAGAAGGTAAGCTGTTTGTACCATGAAATGCTTAAAGTAAGCGTAGGCAACAGTAAGACTTTCCTTGTTTTGTTGTCTATTCTTTATTTCTTTTTCCAATTATGTTCTCTTCTTTCTGTTTTATTTTCCTCCTTTCATATTTAGTTTGCTTTAATTTTTCGTTCTATAAGAGGATTACATAATTTACATTTTCCATGATGAGTGTGCTGAAGAGATTAAGGGGATTAAAACCAAAAGCTTGGAGGACAACAATTTTTTTGGATGCTCGAGTATGAACAAAAAATGAGAAGACTATAATACAGATGGATCACGGAACCTATGGTATAACTCAATAACAGGTTTCTTTGTTGCTTCTGGAACAAACTCATCCAACAGTTCGTCACAGACAGTCCATCTTTACTCTCACACGTCTTGCCCCCAACTTCTCCAAATCTTGGCTGCTGTTCAAGGCCTTAGATTTCTCCCATTGATGCCACTATGATCAATTTTATTTACCTTGCAGATCCAAGCCGTGCTAAAGAAGTATGATATACTTTTTGTTGCTGATGAGGTACTTTGCTAATTGAAATTTCTGTCTTCATCATTTCGCCTTGTTTACAAGAATGATTTTAATGTTTATATCAGGAGATGTCTTCAATTTTTATTTCTATAGGTAATCTGTGCCTTTGGAAGAGTAGGGGCAATGTTTGGATGCGATAAATACGATATTAAACCAGACCTTGTATCTCTTGCAAAGGTGAAGCTCAAACATATTCAAATTTAACAAATATCTTGCTTAGTTTAGGCTTTTCATTGTTTTAATTGAGCCTGTTAGTGTACTGCACTCTTTAGGCACTTTCCTCGGCATATATGCCTATTGGAGCTGTTCTCCTGAGCCCTGAAATCTCTGATGTCATTCACTCTCAAAGCAACAAGCTTGGTATATTGCTTATACAATAAACTAGTTAATCACTGTCCGTAATCTTCAAGTCCAGAAACTTACCTATTCTTTGTGTTCAATAATACTGTTTATAGGTTCCTTTTCTCATGGATTTACTTATTCTGGACACCCAACTGCATGTGCTGTTGCACTTGAAACACTCAAGATTTACAAGTACGTTCCTACACCTGTGCTTTTGGATTTCTACTTTTTATCATTCAGAATAACAAAGAAGCCTTAAAAGTGGACAAACATTTCAAACATCCATCATTTTTCGGAACAAGAAATCTGCAAGTTTGTCAAGGTGGATTACCCACTTTCTATTAGATTCAAACGGTGTCCTTGTTTGGGGATGCAACCACGATTTGAACTATAAATAGAATATATGTAATTGTTATGATCGAAATACATGTATAGAATGCAATACATATGTGTACTTACCACATTATTGGTAAGTTCATTTCATCCCTTTGCAGGGAAAGGAATATTGTGGAGCAAGTAAATCGCATCTCCCAGAGGTTTCAAGATGGCATAAAAGCTTTCTCTGATAGCCCTATCATTGGAGAGGTAAAGAGAGTTACTCAAGTAATTAAGTTTTAACTTGTGAATCTGAGGCACGTTCAGTCCTTTAGCAACTGTGATTTTGCAGATAAGGGGGACTGGCTTGATATCAGGCACAGATTTTGTAGACAATAAATCACCAAATGATCCATTCCCTCCTGAATGGGGTATGTTTTATGTAATTACCATTCTTAGTCATGCATCTTAACGGCTTATCATGAAAACAAAAAGTATCTGTTAATTTGGATCAAATAATCCTAGCCGGAAAAAAAACATTGTATCTTATCTTAATCCCAGAATCACAAATCCAGGAATGGGGTAGATCTTGAACTGTCAGGGTCATGCTTATGCTTACAGCTTGTTATGTGTCTGATATAAACAGGAATTGGTTCATATTTTGTGGCTGAATGTCGAAAAAATGGTTTGATAGTCCGTCCTGGAGGGGATACTATAACGATGGCTCCGCCACTTATCATCACTCCTCATGAAGTTGATGAGGTATCCCTGAAAGCTAATAAGATTACGATTGAATTTCCATTCCACATCTTTTGCTGGAATTTGATCCAATGTTTTTTTGTTTCCAGTTAATCAGTATTTACGGAAAGGCACTAAAGGCTACAGAAGAGAGAGTGAAGGAATTGAAGGCTCAGAGGTAGCTGCAAATGGTTTCAACAAACGGCCTGAAGGAACCGGATCCTGTCTACTCTAAGGGAGCAAATAAATCCTTCTCCGTGGTGGCCAAATGCTTGATGGTGATGAATAGTTAATCAGCTTTTGTCTAAGATATGAGTGATATGCCTGAAATCGTGTCCAAGATATCAAGCTGTTTCTGAACATCAGCTTGATATGGATTTCAAAGTAAAATTGCTCATTTTCGGAAATATTTCTTGCAATAAAAGTTGTTTGAGTTTTTAGCTTTCCTTTGTGCTCTCGCCTTCCTCGAGAAATTGAAGTCATCTTAAACCCTCCTTTCTCATCCTCTGATCCATCCAAATCTCAGAATTATTTCTTCACATTCCCCCGATTTAAAAGCCATTAATTGGTTTATTAATTCTAAGTCCAAAAAGAATCAAACATATACCAAAACCAATAGAGATTGAAAGCATTAGCAGTCTGCATGGGTGTAAGACGAAAGCTAGGGTTTGAGATGACAGGAAAGGAAGGAAGGAAGAAAGAAAGAAAGAAACGTACCTCTCGAAGCCCGGTGATGGTTGCGGCTGCAACATCGCCCAACACTGAAACCCCCATTTGCGACGATCCATCCATGTTCTCCTTAGATGATGTGAGAATCACTGTTTATAACAATATGATGAGAACTATGATAACTATTGGTTGGATGCGTGAGAGCCCATCGAGAGCCAACTAGTCGTAGGCTAATGATGATAATGACATTTGCAACGCTGCCAGGAGATATTGTTCTTTAGGATTTCCCTTTCGAGCTTCCCTCAAAGCATTGTCTTTCGGGGCAGGTTTACACACTCTTATAAATGGTGTTTCGTTCTCCTCCCCAACCGACAAACAACAATGATGACTTTGATGATGATGATGATAAAACAGACTAGTAAAACACCCAAATAAGAACCATTAGAATCCTAAGGACAAACCACGAGAACGGAAGAATCCAATTAGGGCTAAAGAAAAAGAACATATGGTCTCCGGATCAGACTCTAATTTCTCAAATTTAATTTTTTTTTTATAAACTCAGTCATGTATTTTTCATCATCAGTTAGTCGTCATTGTAAATTGTGTCTTCAATATCCTTTATGTCATTTTTTACTTCAAGCCCGAGTCTCTCAAATGAGGGTCTAAGCCAACTAGAGTCACAAATGAAAAAAAAGTAAACACTCGTTTAAAGATGAAAAAACTTCACCTAAGGTCCTGTGAAGCTCGTGATCTTATGTAGTCCATGGATAGCACGATAATCGAAGAGTACGTGACACGTGGCACGTGGCACATATGAGTATCAAAAGTAGTTAAAAAGAAAAAAATCTTTACCTACCCATATTGCCCTTTACTTTTTACCATAATACCAATATTGTCCTCCTTAAATAACATAGTTAAATGTAATTAATTATCTTAAACAACTTGGGGAGTTCTCAATAACATCTCTAAGTAAATGACTTTGGATAACGATAAACTAGTAATCCCAATCAATTACTAATAATTAATTTTTAATTAACTAATAATTACTATCATAATTAATTAATTAATTAATTAGCACTACAATAATTCATCACGTGACAACTTTATTGGACACGTGTCTTAAAATGGAAATTATATATTATTAGGCTAAGCTTTCCATGTGACTAAAAATATATATTAATTAAATTTGTTTTTTAATGCGCCAAAAGGAACACATCGGACGGTGGAGAAAAGAGATGCCGATATTTTGAAATTCTTCACGTTCAAAGATCAATCTTGGAATTGGGAAATAAGTTTATTTAAATAATATATAATATATAATAAAAAATACAAAATGTTGTAATTGGATAAATTTATTTTAAGATGTCAAATTAAATTTAAACAAATTATTTAAATTTAAAACATTTAAAAATTAAATATTAAAAATCTTATAATGTGTCAGTCATGTGAGTGCCAATTAATTTATTAATGCAACAATAAATAATAAATACAAACATTTTTAATGAGTTCAAGATATTATAAAGAATTGGAGAAAAAGGAAGGATGAACAGCAAGCTAATTCAGATCCAACTTTGTGGTTAAATATCACAGCTCTTATGTTCTGTGAGTGTGTGTATGCAGCCATTTGAAGCTTTGAGAACACGTCCTACAATGGCTATCATCAATCACCTTCTTCGTTCCGCTCTACGGTCTCGGGTAACAAAATCAAACAAACGCCCGATTCATCGTCTTCTTCTTCATGTTCTTATTGTCCCTTGTTCTTATCATTTGAATTGAATCTGTTTCTTGGTTATAGTCGGTTGCATCTTCAAGACGAGCTTCGGAATATGTCGTCCCGACTCCCTTCCTGTCCTGCTTATATGGAACACAGGCGTCGGTGCAAACAGAGGAATCAGACAACATTGGGTTAAACTTCAACTGTTTATTCCTTCTCTACACTCACTCTTCTATATGGTTTGAGCATAAACATGTTTCAATTACAGGTTTAAGGGACATGATATCATTACACCTTTTACTACAAGATGGCAGTGCACAAATGAAAATCCACTAGTTATAGAAAGATCAGAGGTAACCTTCATGTGTGTTAAACAAATGGATAATAACACAGAACATATTGTTTTTTCATTCTACTTTGAATTTGGATTCCATGGTGATACAGGGTTCATATGTGTATGACACTAATGGAAGGAAGTACCTTGATGCTCTGGCTGGTCTATGGTGCACATCCTTAGGTACCACAATCTGCACAAACACGAACTTTTGTTCTGCATATATTAAAGTGTAGTTAAGTTAGTTGTGATGTCCCATATTAGTTGGGGAGGAGAACAAACCACCATTTACAAGGGTGTGGAAACCTTCCCCTAGCGCGTTTTAAAGCCTTGAGGGGAAGCCCGAAAGGGAAAGCCCAAGAGGACAATATCTGCTAGCGGTGGATGTGGGTCGTTACAAATGGTATCAGAGCCAGACATCGGACGATGTGCCAGCCTTCTCGCTGTTCCCCGAAGGGGGGGTAGACACGAGGCGGTGTGCTAGTAAGGACGCTGAGCCCCAAAGGGGAGTGGATTTGGGGGCGGTCCCACATTGATTGGAGGAAGGAAAGGGTGCCAACGAGGACGCTGGGCCCTGAAGGGGGTGGATTGTGATGTTCCACATTGGTTGGGGAGGAGAACAAACCACCATTTACAAGGGTGTGGAAACCTTCCCCTAGCAGACGCATTTTACAGCCTTGAAGGGAAGCCCGAAAGGGAAAGCCCAAAGAAGACAATATCTGCTAGCGGTGGATCTGGGTCGTTACATTAGTAAAAGACAATGTTTGAATTTGTAGGGGGAAATGAACCACGACTTGTAGCAGCTGCAACAAAACAACTAAATACCTTACCGTTTTACCACTCCTTTTGGAATCATACTAACATGCCTTCATTGGTATGCTATTCAACCTTAAACTTATTTTGGTTTCTTTTAGATAAAAGAACTCACTTTTCATACATGGCAGGAGCTGGCAAAGGAACTGCTTGAAATGTTCACAGCTAGAAAAATGGGGAAAGTCTTTTATACAAACAGCGGTTCAGAAGCCAATGATACTCAGGTTTTTTCTACTCCCAGGAGAATAAGCAGAGCAAATAAAGAGAAAAAACTGACGAACTAAAGTGACTAAAACATCAAGGTTTATAACAAATGCAACCAATAAATTCATTTTGTGCTTAAAAACATGTAATAGGTCAAGCTGGTATGGTACTATAACAATGCACTTGGAAGACCAAAAAAGAAAAAGTTCATTGCTCGCTCACTGGCGTAAGTTCAAATATCTATATCATTTCCTTTGTTGTTCTGTTCTATGAATTGTCTTTTCCTTACACTCTTCTATCCAACAGCTACCATGGTTCAACATTAATAGCAGCCAGTCTTACTGGGTAAGTTAAATGAAAAGAAAATGTACCTCGTGTCTCTTGTTAAAAGAAATCGTTACTCGAATATATATTTTTCGACAGCCTAACAGGTATGCACCAGCAGTTCGACATTCCAGCTCCGTTCGCCCTGCACACGGATTGTCCACATTACTGGCGTTACCATCTTCCAGGTTCTGATCTATGCGCTTCCATATACAGTTGGTTCAATTTCGTTGATTCTTTTTTTACAGGCATTAACTTAAGAACATCCTTGTGTCAGGTGAAACGGAGGAAGAGTTCTCAACCAGATTAGCTAAAAACTTGGAGGACCTTATACTTAAGGAGGGGCCAGAGACGGTAAACTTGAATACTCCTTTGAATTAGAATATGACATGATACCATAATTGACCCTTGTCTAATTTTCCACTTCAGATTGCTGCATTCATCGCTGAACCTGTCATGGGGGCTGGTGGTGCGATCCTTCCACCTACAACTTATTTTGAGAAGGTAAGCTCTTCCATTTTTCTCCTTTTATATTTAAGTCTGTTTTAATGTGCTGAAGGGATTAAGGGAACTAAAACAAAAAGCTTGGAGGACAACAATATTTTTGATGCCACCATGATGTTTTTTTTGCTTTATGTTGTAGATCCAAGCTGTGCTCAAGAAGTATGATATACTTTTTATTGCAGATGAGGTACTTTGTTAATTGCAATATCTGTCTTCATCATTTTGCCTTGTTTACAAGAATGATTTTAATATAAACCAGGAGATGTCTTCAATTTCTTTTTTGTTCCTACAGGTAATCTGTGCCTTTGGAAGGCTAGGGGCGATGTTTGGATGCGATAAGTACAATATTAAACCAGACCTTGTATCTATTGCAAAGGTGAAGTTGGAATAGATCCATCTTTAACAACTACCCTGCTTAGTTTAGGCTTTCCATTGTTTTAATTGAGCCTGTTAGTGTACTGCACTCCGTAGGCACTTTCCTCGGCATATATGCCTATTGGAGCTGTTCTTGTGAGCCCTGAAATCTCTGATGTCATTCACTCTCAAAGCGACAAGCTAGGTATAATGCTTATACAGTAAACTAGTTCATGACTGTTTATAATCTTCAAGTCCAATAATATTGCCTCCAGGTTCCTTTGCTCATGGATTTACTTATTCCGGACACCCAACCGCATGTGCTGTTGCACTTGAAACACTCAAGATCTACAAGTACGTTCCTACACCTGTGCTTATGGATCACTACTTTTTGTCATTCAGTATGACAAAGAAACCTTAAAATGGACAAACACTTCAAACATCCATCATTGTTTTGTACAAGAAAGCTGTAACTTTGTCAATCAGTGTCCTTGATTGGGGATGCAATCACGATTTGAACTATAAATAGAATAGAGAATGCAATACATATGTTTACATACCATATAATTGGTGAGTTCATTTCATTTCATTGTAGGGAAAGGAATATTGTGGAGCAAGTAAATCAAATCTCCCCGAGGTTTCAAGATGGCATAAAAGCTTACTCTGATAGCCCTATCATTGGAGAGGTAAAGAGAGTTACTCAAGTAATTAAGTTTGACTTGTGAATCTAAGGCATCTTCAGTTCTTCAGTAACTATGATTTTGCAGATAAGGGGGACTGGCTTGGTGTCAGGCACAGATTTTGTAGACAATAAATCACCAAATGATCCATTCCCTCCAGAATGGGGTATGATTTATGTAATTACCATTGTTAGTCATGCATCTTAATGGCTTATATCTTAAAAACAGCTAGGTCTCAGAGCCAAGTTTGAATATCTTGTTCTATATCAACCTAACCCCAAAATCACAAATCCAGTAATAAGGTAGATCTTGATCTGCCAGGGACATGCTTATGCTTACAGCTTGTTATGTGCCTGATATAAACAGGAGTTGGTGCATATTTTGGATCTGAATGTCGGAAAAATGGTTTGATAGTACGTGCTGCAGGGAATAATATAACAATGGCTCCACCATTTATCATCTCTCCTCAAGAAGTTGATGAGGTATCCCTGAAAGCTACTAAGATTTTGATTGAGTTCCAATTCTACATCTTTGATCGAATTTGATCCAATGGGGTTTTTTTTTTTTTTTTTTTTTTTTTTTTTTTTTTTTTTTTTT